TTCTGTGTCTCCCTCTCTCTCTGCCCCTCCCCCGTTCATGCACTTGCTCTCTCTCAAAAATAAACATTTAAAAAAAGAAGATAACACAGAAGGAAATCTTCATGGCCTAGGGCTTGACGGAGAGTCCTTACATATAACACCAAAGGCATGATGTGTAAAAGGGAAAAAAAAAGATAAACTGCACTCCCTCAAAACTAAAACTTCTGTTCTTCGATGACTCTACTAGAAGGATTAAAAGACAAGCTACAGACTGGGAGAAAATATTTGCAAACCACATCTCTGAGAAAAGACTAGTATCTATAATAAATAAAGAACACTCAGAACTCAATAAAAAAAAAAAAACCCAAACCCAAACAATCTGATTAGAAAATAGATGAAAAGTGTGAACAGGTGTTTCACCGAGGAAGACAGATGAATGGCAAATGGGCACATGAAGAGATGTTCAACATCATCGGTCATTAGAGGAATGCACACGAAGGCCACGGGGAGGTATCCCCACCCACCTGTTAGAACAACTACAATGACAAATGGTGGTTAACGCCAAATGCTGGCGAGGAGGCGGGGGAACTAGATCTCTCGTACACGCGGTCACACACACACTCATTTCCGGGCCCCTCAGTGTGTGCTATGTTCTGGGTGCTATCTATATGTTACATCAGTATTTCCACAACACAACAGTGATTATATTTGTACACGTACGGCTCGTGTGCCTCATGGAAAGCTGCCCACACTCTCAGCTCTGGGTAGGGCAGTTTTGATGGCCCGATTTAGAAAAGGGTTACCAGAACTGCAAAATGTCCCCAGTCACCTCTCTACTCTCACTGGAAAAGTATTCAGTCGTATCTGTGTGGGGTGGGGGAGGGTGGCAGGAGGAAAAGGGGACTTATAAATGATGCTCTGAGCATCCAGGGTACCTACGGAGTGCCCCAACAGGAGCAGAACGTCACCTCGGAGGTCACCGGATGCAAAGATCCTCAAGTGTGTGCGGGGGACAAGCCTCCTCTCTTGCGCTTATTCTTACACAGAACAAAGATGGTACCGTCTTAGGTCTCAGAGTTAGCGCCAAAAATCTGTCCATTTTCTTCTTTAGGTTTGTATTCCCACAATGAATTATTTTCCCTAGAGACTCGTGCCTAGGAGATCGAAATTCTCATCGCCCCCCATTTCACGACGCGGCGGCAGTCCCTAACACAGCCGACCTTCTTAAGGTTAAGGCTGTGGACTGTGTGGCAAGACTGCCCGGGTTCAAGTCCCAGCTCATCCACCGAAAGCTCTGTGACCGGGGAAGTTATTGCCAGCATCGCAAGTGTTAGCTATGATACGACTGTCTCTGACCACCCCCCCCCACTAGGTTCTGCAGACCCACCAGGATGCGAGGCTGAGACTCGCTAGCCCAGAAATGGTGGGGCTGGCAGGCGCCAAGCCCAGGAACCCCTGCCCGCCATCGATACAAAAGTCCCTGATGGTGGGGGAGACTGTTCTCTCAAATTCCAGCTTTCTCCCAAGTTCCACGTGTCCCCCTCACCCTAAGGATGACTACGAGATCTTTGTAGGTCCTCTCTCCTCCAAAGGTAGGTATGCTGGACACCGTTAGGCCAGTGCGCTCTGTATTCCAGAGAAGGGAGTAGGGACGAAAGGCCAGGAGAGAAAGGAAGAAACAGTGCCACCTTGTGGCTCTTCGGAGGATCCTTCACACCTAAGCACTGCTTCAGTGCTTTCCTCTTTCCGTCTTTCTGTTCGCATTCAACCTCTGCAGACCCAAAACTGAGGGGGCGCGGTGGGAGCCCCTCCGGGGAGGCAGAACTTCACGTCCGGGAGAACCGAGGCCCAAAGACGTGAAGGGCTTGCCTTGAACCAGAGCCGGGGTTAGGCTCTGGGGCTCTTGACCCCCGCTCCAGGCTCCTCTGTCCCCTAAGGAGCTGGGGGCGCAGAAGCATGCTCTGGAATCCAAACCCTCTTTGAAACAAAATCAAATTTAGGTCAGTTGCTCTCTCTCCCAACACAGCTGCCAAACCACAGGCAGGGGACATCCATGAGGCTGCAACAAATAAGGGTTACGCAGGAAATGCCACGCCTCTTTTGTGCACTCAAGCGAGAGGAGACACGGTTTCCTCTGAAAAACAAAACCCTAATTGCCTCTTTTTATTTCTTGTTATCATCTGAAGCGGATGAGCTTCTTTTGAAGGCCGCAGGTTTGATTTCAGAGGAATGTCAAATGCCAGACTCTGCCAGCAGCTTTGAGGCTTTTGAATTCTGGCCCTGTCGCTGTTCCAGCAAGGTCCAGGTGTTTCTAACGCCCCGTGCATCTGTACTCACAAACATTTTACATGGCAACCCTTTTTCTCATGGAAAACTCAATACTCTGACTTTTCAGTTATTGCTTTTTATTTTTAAGCCCTCCCGCAAACCCACAACAACAACAACAACAACAACAACAACAACAACAACAACAAAAACAAACGTAAAAACCTTCCATGCACTGAGCTGTCTCCCCCTGTGTGTGAGCACAGGGACATAGACGCAAAACTGGCCGTGCTTTCAAACTGACCTTATGTTAAGCCATGACAGCATGGGTGTTGTGCCTCCGCCAATGATCCAGACAGTGAAGAAGACGATGAGGAGGGTGGTCGTGAACATCATCTGGCGAGCGTAGGATGCCGTGTCGCGGATGGCCAGCGCAAATGCCATCGCGCCCCTGAGGCCTGCGGGGACCAGAGAGGAAGATCTGGTTATAAGGGCGGATGACAATGTGTCCTCAGATCCGTTGCTGCCACTCAGGGCTAATAAACTATAACATCCACGTATGTTTCGGGAGTCAAACGGTCTTATTCAGAAAGAAGGACCTTAAGGGAATGTGGTTTTCTCTTGTCTGAAGTCTTCTTTTGCAAAATGCCCAAATGCGATGAGAAAAACACTGCACTACTTTGTCCGGCACATTCTAGAACAATACCACTCTTATTACGGAGATCATTCTCCTGCTAGTAACATGAAATAAAAAGAAAGATAAATAAGAACTAATGAATATAAGCTCTCTAGGTCTGTGATTCATTATAAACTGAAGTAACAGGCTAGGTCTGAATACATCAAATACATATTTGTGATCTGTGTCCCAGGACCCACAGAGCAGCCTAGCATTTCCTTAGCAAAGCTACACAGAGAAGTAACAATACAACCTGATCTACGTCAAGCGTTGGCAATTTTTTTCTGTAAAGGGTCAGATAATAAATATTTTAGGCTTTGGGGGTCAAAAGGAAAAATCAAGGCTATTTTGTAGGTACTTACATAGAAGAGAAAAAAAAAAAACAACCCAAATTTCTACCAAATCTTATGGGCAAAAAACAAAAAGAGAATAATAACAACACAGTATAATGTGTTGTGATATAGGTAAATTCTTTTGGAGGACTATATTTCACTTAACTGGACTTCAAAGTTAGTGTCCTCTATCGTCAAATAGATTGTAAATGTCCACCTGTAAAAGCCACTCTTAGCCGTGGAGTATATGAAAATATGCAACGGCCAGCTTTGGCCCAGGGGATGTAGTCTGCTGGCCCTTTTTCTACATTAACGGGTATTAAGGCTAAGCGCCAAACACACGGTGAGTACAGCATAGCCTGGAATGAAGTTGAGTCATGATATTGGACATCTGAAACTAATATAACACTATGTGTCAACTATCCTAAAAAAAAACCCTGGGAGATAGAAATTAAATGTACGCAGTTAAGTATATTCATCTTTGCGTTTAAGTTTCAGAGCAGATGCTGTGACCTACAGAGTGTAACACTCACAAAGGAACTGAAACAGCAGTGAATTTTTTTAAATGTTTTATTATTTATTTTTGAGAGAGAGAGAGAGAGAGAGAGAGCACACACGAGCGAGTGGGGGAGGGGCAGAGAGAGAGGGAGACACAGACTTCGAAGCAGGCTCCGAGCTGTCAGCACAGAGCCCGACGCGGGGCTCGAACTCACAAGCCTGGAGATCATGACCTGAGCCAAGGTCAGACGCTTAACTGACTGAGCCACCAGGGTTAATATATATTCACAAATATTTGTTCTCCTTTTATGCGAGTTCTCATATTTTCATCTTATGCTAGATTTTAATTACATTTAATAAAATGCTGTTTGCTTAAAAGATTAAGCTCCCGCATTTTAATGTTTACCTTTCTAAGTTCTTTTGTTCCTTCTTCATACCATGCTCACCATTTGTTTTACGGTAAAGGCCGAATCCGTGGTCTTTAATAGACATCTGGTATAAGTTCCTATTCACCTTTGGCCAGACTGTGTATATTATATGAGAGAATAAAAAGCAATACCCACTGTACCTTTTTGCATATTCTCCCGCCTTTCCTAACAGTTTGGTAAATTCCCTCATCTGCGAACTTCACAATTCACTAAAACATGATTCAAAAAAGTTACATCAAAGGGGCACTTGGGTGGCTCAGCTGGTAAAGCAAACATTCGACTCTTGCTTTCAGCTCAGGTCATGATCTCGCAGTTCGTTAGTTCGAGCCCCGCCCTGGGCTCTGTTCGGGTAGTGTGGAGCCTGCTTGGGATTCCCTCTCCCTCTCTCACTGCCCCTCCCCTGCTTGCTCTCTCTCTTTCTCTCTCTCGAGATAAATAAATAAACTTTAAAAAAGAGTTACGTTAAAAAACAGAGCCAAGTTAATGTTTTCTATTAATCCGTACTTGGGAAATAACACACACATCTAGATTGCCCTATAGCCAGCTTCGTCACCGATGAATACTTTGGCCTCTAAAGGGATGTTGTCTCAAAGAAGAAAAGTTAGGGGTCAGGGAGAGACAACGTGTGCTGCATTGTCTGGAGTTCCTTTTGATGGCGACATTGTTCCCAGCAGGAAATAATCTTTATAGGAGATGCCTTTAAACAGCACTGTGTACTGCCTTTTAGTCCAGAAAATAGTGGACATATTTTAAGTTTATCTTGGTGAATGAGTTCTCTCCAACTCATCTTGCTCTTCTCCACTAGAACTTTCTTTTAGGGGGGAAGGGGGTACCTGGGTGGCTCAGTCGGTTAAGCTACTGACTCTTGGCTCAGGTCATGATCTCGCGGTTCGTAAGTTCGAGCCCCGGGTCGGACTCTGTGCTGCCAGCTCAGAGCCTGGAGCCTGCTTCGGATTCTGTGTCTCCCTCTCTCTGCCCCTCTGCCCCCCCCAAAATAAATAAATGTTAAAAATTTTTTAAAAGAACTTTCTTTTTTCTAATATTTATTTTTGAGGGAGAGAGCACAAGCAGGGGAGGGGCAAATAGAGAGAGAGAGAGGCAGGCAGACAGACAGACAGACAGACAGACAGCTCTGGTGGAGAAGAGCAAGATGAGTTGGAGAGAACTCATTCACCAAGATAAACTTAAAATATGTCCACTATTTTCTGTCCTTTCTCGCCTCAGCGGCTTCTGCACACTTCTCAGCTTTAGAGTGGAGAGGGGGGCATCTGGGAGACAGTATAAATCAAGCAGAATTATCACGGCCATTAACTTCCGGTTTGGGGCTCATCTTTGCTTACTCAAGTGAATTTTATTTTTTGCCTCACGGGAAGTTGGAGCTAGGAGGAAGCTCAACAATTAGCTCAATTTCATTATTTTCCAAGAGTGGATACTGCAGCTGGGAGGTACTGAGTGATGTGGCCTGTGTTCTTTCTCATTAAAGGCCCATCTCCCAGGGCACCTGGGTGGCTCACTCAGTTAAGCGTCTGACTTTGGCTC